TGTACGCTTAACAGTTTACGAAGAAAATTCCTAAAAACTATACCGTACATTTAAAGCTATCTTGTGATTCTTATACATCGTAAGTACACATGTTTTACAAACAAAACAAAACATTACTTGAAGTAGTATAGTAGTTTACTTGTTGAGATAAATGTTAATACAATTTGGCAAATTTATTTATTTCCAACTAAACTAATTTACTTAACTAAAATCAATATCCCCCCTTCCTTGTAACAGCAAACACACATTATTCCTAATGTTGTTTGAATTGGGAATGATTAAGGAAATATTTTAGTAAAAATCCTGTCAGACGAATGGAAAATCGCTTGGTCTGCAAGTTTCAAGTGGTGGCAGTATTTTATTATTATATTAATGGACCTACACATTTTATTACCTTAAACAATTAGTTATTTTGTCTATTGAATTTTCGCAAATTATAATATTTATCAAATAGTTGCAATTGAAATAAAAAATTATACTTCACTAATTTAAAATAGTAAAAAATTCTAATCTAAGGCTTTAACAAGCAGGTCCTAAAATTACACAGGATTTGGTGATCCTACATGTAGGATAATCGAATAGGTACGGTAATTACTTTTGATATCGCGATTATAGTTGCATTTATCTACAGTAAGTTGCATTACTATTGCAATATGCAATATCATAGGAAGGGTCCAGGGGAAAAAGGGGCAAAGTCAATTTTTTTTTCAAATTGAGTTTGAAATGCAAAAATATTCTTCTTCTGATGCTAAATATGGCAGTATATTTGTTCTGGGGAAAAAGAAGCTCATTGACATTGAAATGTAAGAATAAAGATTCATGGTGCTGGGGAAGAAGGGGCCAAGTCACTGCAGTTTAAAGCACTTGAACTTAAAATATAAAATATGTTTCCTGAAGAATTTTGTTTTATGGACTTTGCCCCTTTTTCCCCTGTACTCTTCGTATTATGGCATGGCTTGACAGGGAAAATGCATTTATCAGCAATATGGTTGTAATTGAGTACACATTGCTTTTAGTTTTTAATTACAAAATAACTCAAGTTTTAAGTGAATTTCTAAATGTTTGGTATATGACCTAGAGTATTTTAGTCACTAAATATAACTACGACATTGTTGTCGTAGGGCTATTTTTTATCCATCCGAAATTGGATATAGCTATGTTTTTAAGTTAATAAATATAATTTTTAATAAATTACAAATTTTATAGACACAACTGGTTCCATTTTTAATTTGAATTCCAGGCTATTTAATTTAAATAGTATATAATGTTCAAAAATGCCCTTTTTCTGCAAACACAATTGATCTATTAATATTCTAAATCAATTATTTTAGGTGTGTAATCCTTAAAACAAACTACAATTGGTTATAGTTCTAAATCAGGTTTAGGAATCAATGATTGTGCATTGAATGGCATCTGTAGTATTTATCTTTTAAAAACACACTCCCTAGAAGAAGAGATAAGAATTCATATCCTGGTGAAATAAACATTGACGTTATAATGATCCTGTCCTTGTAGTTAAATTTATTAAATAACTTCTTGATCAGCATTGTACGTGTTATTAAATTTACGGAAAGTAAATAAAAGAAACGTCTTATAACACTTAAAACATATATTTACGCTTATACTGTTACTCACAAGACGGTAAATATACAAAACAGATGGTAAGTGGTGATCGATTTCGATTGGACACTCCAATCATCATCAGACCCAATAGGCGAATGTTTATGTTTAGAATGTTATTCGCCTATTGGGTCTGATGATGATTGGAGTGTCCAATCGAAATCGATCACCACTTACCATCTGTTTTGTATATTTACCGTCTTGTGAGTAACAGTATAAGCGTAAATATATGTTTTAAGTGTTATAAGACGTTTCTTTTATTTAAATTTATTATAACAGCAAGTTGTATAGACCATAAACATAACCAAATTAATGATGTAACAAGGTCCGAATCCTATACTAAAAACATTAACTGTAGGTTTAGACAGTTCTTATTTAATTAATATTAAACTAGTGGCTTATAGGGGCCATAGCCCCTAATTTAGACTAAAATAAAAAACCATATATAAAAATACAAATAATCGAAATATGTTTTTAAAATTATCAATTGTATGTTACTTAAAATTAACAGTGTTTCTTGTTTTATATCTTGGGTTTCCTTCCGTTGGAGTCGTATATTAAGTAGTTGCTTCTGATGTGTCAATGAAATACAAAAGTAAAATAATGATTAAATCAATAACACAACATATTAACAAATGGAAACGTGCACAGGGTTTGGCCTGAGCCCGGAGAACGACGGATCAGAGCTGAAATCATACAGCCAAACATTGCACATCTTTTCTAGTTTAAAATTGAAGATTTGTTTTGTAATCCTACGAATTCTGTTATAGTTTCCATTTTGAGAACCAAGTGTAAAGGTTAACATTATTATTAATTATTATGAGGGCAACTCTTCCATTTCGCGGTAGTAAGTCTGAAATATATCTATGAATTTGTCCCTGAATTTTAAGACAGTAAGGCCCATTTCCCGGAATATCTTTTTGTGTAGCGGAAAGCGACGCAAAAGCCATTGCACTGTTGTAAAGCCTTATTATTATTATTATTAGCCTCATGTTTTTTATGAAGTACGAATCATGTAAAAACAGTTCATTTAGTTCGTCCTTTAATTGTGGTTGTGGCATGTCCATTATGGCAACATGCGTTGAAATGTCCATTTGTGGCCTCCTCTGCGAAGTGAAATGCGCCACAATGCACGCAAGTGCTTTAGGAGGACCTAGATTGTGAGAAGCAACACTCAACTCATTTTCCAGCGTTCTTCTAAAGACAGGTTGTAAAACAGCTTCTGGATTTCTTTCACAGTTAGGCCCTACATGACGTTCTCTTTTGCATTTCTTAAGTCTGTTGAATTCCTGGACACTCTTCCACGTCTTGCATGTCTTTCCCTACCCTGTCTAGTTACTTCACTCATTGTAAAAACGAAAAACAAAAAATTAAACACAATTCATTTTGAAACATTGTTTACCAACATTGACTTTCGGAATCAATGTAAACATTGCAAATAAATAAGTAACAGCTGATAGAACGCAGACGTTTTTCAGTCCCCATGCATTTCTTATGGTGGATATTTTACGTTATATCTCGTTTTCTGGCAACTTTATGGGAATTCTGCCATTTTTCCCGAGTCCCTGGGGTCAAGACCTTTAATTTAAGACCGCTCCCACTTTTCTGCGACTTACCAGACGTCCACAATTTTCTGGTAAAAATTTGGTCTTACAGAATTATATATACGAGAGGTCGTCCAGTGGTCGAAACTCGACCAAAAATATGTAATGTACTCACTTCTCTATTTTCACCCCACACACTGTAAATAAAACATGTGATTGGAGTTTCTTCCATTTGTTTTGATTTTCTGTTTATATTTCGTTGTTATTTCGTCACCAGCATGGCAACGCATAAGATCCATGTTAATTTTTTCAAATTTTTAAACTCATTTTTTGTGTTTATCTTTGAGCCTATTTAAATTTACAAAGGGATTCTGCACACCTACAGGAAAATTGCTTTCTAACGGTATGCGCAGATTTACCCCACGATGCACACAAGCTGAGAAAAAAGGTTTTAAAGAAACATGCTTGCCTATTAATATACAGGGTGTTTCACGGGAACCCTGACAAACTTCGGGAAATGGTTCCTGGGGTCAAAACTAGAAAAAAATGTCCTGTAAGCATATGTCCTAAACTCAATCGTTTGCTATTTATACGTAAAAATGTGTTTTTTTAGGTTTTCAGTGTATCTGTTGAACATTTTAACCTCTAGATTAAAAAATCTTCAAGATATTTTAATTAAACTTGCATAGCTAGATAGAATATTAAATTACAAAGAGATTTCATTAATATTATGTGCACACATGTTGGGTATGACTGAGAAAAATGAGTTAAAAAATCAAATTTTCCCGAAAAAATGATAATCCAAAAATATTTTTTATTTTTGACAGCTCTTCATACTTAAACCATTTAGTCGTTTGGCTTGCAACTTTACCAAAAGTTGTAGAATTTAATGGAGAACAATAAAATATCAACTTGTGTATACCTTTTATGGGGATTATCTTTATCAAAATCAAAAATATTGTAAGGTAACACATATTAATTTAATTTGAAGGAATAAACAAAAATGTATATTTAGCTTATTTATAAACATACCTCACTAAAAATTCGTACATTGGTTTTCCTAGTTGAGAAGGTTCGTATAAAGGCCTAAAATCCTCCATCCTTTTCATTTTTTATGGTGTAAAACAAGCATACTCACTCACTTTTCTATGTTAACCTTATAGGGAAAAATAAAATATGACAACTTGCAAATTTCTGAACATATCTTATTAAAACTTGGCTTATGACTTATTTTGATTGAGGACTTTAGGATTAATGCCAAAAATTCCAGTTTTATATTCATTTTGCACAAAACTAGCACAATCCTATCCTTTACGGGAAATAATTAGTCTTTTCAACTATTAGTCCTAATGGACGTTTTGACCTTTTAAATTTAAAAATGTAAATGCTATTTTAAAAATAAGTTCTTCATAGTTAGTATAGGTTGACGTGAAAACATTTTATGGAAGAAAGTAAAATATTTTACAACTCAATCAATTTCAACAAATCTAGGAAGTGCACTAACTTGGACGCATTATTATAATCATTTAAAATCCTAACATTTACCAACTGAAGCTCATTGGGTTTCAGGAGGGATCGGATTATAAGGGTTCAGGTATTTGAAAAATCGATATTTGTTGTTATTATTTCGTAATTGATTACATTTTTTAGTGTGCAACTAAAAATAGCTTTGAATTAAATAGAATATTGGTAAACCTGTAAATGCAGTTAATAAATCATCTGTTTTGCTCGGTCAGCTGATGCAATTTTTATTGTTGCATACTTTGTTTACATTGAATTTCCAGTCCATTGTTATTGGCAGTGAATATCATGTACACTAACAGTGAATATGCAGATATGGTATTTATTTATGGATTTTGTGATGGAAATTCAAGATCATCCGTTCAAGAATACGCTAGAAGATTTCCCAATAGGCGTACGCCTAATAGGCAAGTATTTACAGATCTATTTAATCGACTAAGGGAGACAGGATGTGTTAGAAAAGTTGTCCCTGACGGTGTAGTTCAAACTCCTGTAGAGGTTGAAAATGACATCTTACACTCTGTTCAGCAAAGCCCAGGAACAAGCGTAAGAAAGCTTTCACGACAGCACCTGGTGTCTATTTCTAAAACCTGGAGAATTTTACATAATGAAGGATTATATCCTTATCACTTAAGAAAGGTTCAGGCGCTTCACGCTGGTGATACCCTAAGAAGGTCTCAGTTTTGTCGCTGGGTAGCAGGAAATCGTCACCAAATTAAGTTCATACTCTTTACTGATGAAGCTCAATTTACTCGGAATGGAATAAACAACTCAAAAAATGTCCACATATGGGCCGAAGACAATCCACATGCCACAGTGGAGACAAACTTTCAACAGAGGTTTTCGGTGAATGTTTGGTGCGGTCTTTTAAATGACAAACTTGTAGGACCTCACATCTTAGATGGTGCTCAAAACGGTGTAAGTTATCTACATTTCCTAAACAACACTTTGCCGGAACTGCTCGAAGATGTTGCCATCCAGTCAATGGCAAGGATGTTTTATCAACATGACGGTGCTCCCCCACACAGGAGTCGAGCTGTAGTTGAAACGCTGAGAAACCGTTTCGAGGAAAAACTTATTGCTCATCAAGGACCAGTGAATTGGCCCCCTAGGTCGCCCGACCTGACTCCGATGGATTACTTCCTATGGGGATACATGAAAACAGAAGTTTACAGAAGCAAGCCTCAAACAAGAGAAGAGCTGGTAGAGAAGATTCACACCGTAGCAGAAACAATAAAAAGTAATCCTATCATGATAAGAGCAGCTACATTATCTCTGGTTAAACGTGCTAGACTGTGTCTGTCTAAAAATGGAGGCCATTTTGAAAACCTCATCAGTTAAAAAAACTTTACTTCAAGCCTTCATAGTTTATATTGGCAAAAAAAGAATGATGTTTCCCTAGTTACTGTTTTTCTTCTTTAATTTGCAGTAATTTAAAGCTTATTAAAATTATTATGATACATTATTATATTAATATTAATTAAAAACATACCACAACATGTAAAACTTGGGTATACTAGGTTATAATTATTTAGTTCCAATTAAACTATGTCAAATAAAAAGTTTTAATTAAATATGTACTTAGAAATATGAGAGCTATTTTATTTTATTTTTCCTCATAATGTTAACATAGAAAAGTGAGTGAGTATGCTTTTTTTACACCATAAAAAATGAAAAGGATGGAGGATTTTAGGCCTTTATACGAACCTTCTCAACTAGGAAAACCAATATACGAATTTTTAGTGAGGTATGTTTATAAATAAGCTAAATATACATTTTTGTTTATTCCTTCAAATTAAATTAATATGTGTTACCTTACAATATTTTTGATTTTGATAAAGATAATCCCCATAAAAGGTATACACAAGTTGATATTTTATTGTTCTCCATTAAATTCTACAACTTTTGGTAAAGTTGCAAGCCAAGCGACTAAATGGTTTAAATATGAAGAGCTGTCAAAAATAAAAAAAATTTTTGGATCCTTATTTTTTCGGGAAAATTTGATTTTTTAACTCATTTTTCTCAGTGATACCCAACATGTGTGCACATAATATTTATGAAATATCTTTGTAATTTAATATTCTATCTAGCTATGCAAGTTTAATTAAAATATCTTGTAGATTTTTCAATATAGAGGTTAAAATGTTCAACAGATACACTGAAAACCTAAAAAAACACATTTCTACGTATAACTAGAAAACGAGTGAGTTTAGGACATATGCTTATAGGACTTTTTTTACCAGTTTTGACCCCAGGAATCATTTCCTGAAGTTTGTCAGGGTTCCCGTGAAACACCCTGTATAGATAGATAGATATTGTTTACTTTTGGGCCAGTAACATATTTCTTTTTCTGATTGATAACGTTTAAGCTACTGTTCTAGTATTTGTGGGTGGTATTTAAGAAAAAATGAACGTCTCTTATGCGAGAAAAACTGTATCCTCATAAACAACTCCTTCCACAAAAAGCCACATCATAATATTGATGAATAAGCAATACAATCATAACCAGTGTTTATATGCATCAAACACTTGCTTGCTTGTAAATCAGCTTATGGCTTATCAAACATATATATCTTGCTAACTGCAGACATTTGCAAGCACTAATTTATAGGAGCTTAAGGTTCTATAACACATCTAAGCTCTATGTTAGGTGCAAATCAATAAATTGGCAATTAACATTGTTACATTTCGTGTATCAGGCTATATAATTCAAATGTATGTGTTTTAGCTTTATATCAAACTAATAAATCAAACAAAATAACATTGACATGGACGAAATCAAAATATTGAGAAAAAAATGTAGTTTTAGGAAAGATTTATCACTCTCTATAAATAATGTAAAATTTATAGTGAAATAATGTTTTTTAGGTGCAGATACAAACATCATTATCTGAGATTAATTCAAGAACACCCTACGTGTTTTAGTGTGGCCAAAATAAAGATGAGTTATTCGTTAGATGAATATCTTAAGTATGTATAGTATTGTTAAGTCAAAGATAACGTACTTTAACGAAATAACATATATAGGCCTACAGAAAGCTTGTGTTACTTATACAGTATCATCAATTTAATGGAAAGCCAGCTTCATCTTTCACTCCAGCTCTCCTGACAAATAGTTTATCATACCACATGAGCGAGCTACTCTCCACTTATATCTTGGCCAAATTGTGTTTCGTTTATTTATATTAATACAAGAGCGGAATACAAAGATTTTTAATCTATCCCACATTAGTAACAATCAATTTAAAACTCTTAGTAGTTGGCCTAAAATAGTTTAAAAATAGCATTATATTTTGTAGAGATTATTATCACTGTCTTCAAACCAGACGTTACATAAATATTACATAACATAAATATTAAAAAGTAAATCGGTACCGGGCCTAGGTCTTACCGTGCCACCTACGGTAATAGCTACTTCCCTAAGGCTAGGGAAATGCGATAAAAATGGTAATATTCATATTTTTTTACCGGATGTAAAAAGAAATATATGGACATTTTTTACTTAATGTAGGCTATGTTAACATAACTAAATGAATACAGTACTACATTAAACTAGGCGTTCAAAATTTAGTAGCTCGTATAAAAAAGTTTAATAATGTTTGAATCATGATATGACTGATCGGCAGAATCTAGTACGAAGTATGATGTTATATGATTGACGGATCTGTAATAGCGTTCAAGTTTTTCATAAGATTGACGTTGGGAAATAACCAACTGTCACTTTGCAAGTTGTTTTCTGCTTCTCACAGAAAATATTACATTTTTATTCCAAATCAAAAAAGGGACACGAATTATTAGTTCCTGATGCATTTAAATTTATTTAATACAAAAATTGTATATACTTCATGTGAGAAATATTTTTTCACAAAACTTTTTTTCAAACTGTAAGGGATCCTTAAACAGAATGGAAATTGTATGAGTAGGCTCACTATTGAAAACTTCATTTTTCTTGGCCTACCTATTTCATAGTAATACTATGATAAGTACAGTATTAACAAGCATAACAAGTATATCTATAAAATAATTTTATTTTAAAATGTTCTTATTATTTTAATTTTTTATTTTTTTCTAAAAAGCAGTAATTAGCATCTAATAATTCTTCGTACAGTTTAAACAAACACAACATTATCCTACCCAATGGCTAAAGTTTTTTTTTTATTTTATAAGGCTAAATGCAAATTAAACGAAAGCTTTTACTAATAACATATTATGAAAGTTTTTCTGATAAAATTTTTCATTGTAAGTGTGCATAAGCTATATTAATTTTAAAACTATATACTTGAAAAAGAACATTGATATTTTTTGCTTTAAGCGAACAATACTTTTCCAATGAAAAGTACCAATCCTGTATGCATGAGTAGAAGCTATTCACCCACTAAAGTTGCTATTATTCTACTTCCTGTGCCAATGGCAGTATTATACTACACCATTAACAGTTGACATATATTACAACATCAGACTTATGACTTTTATATTATATAATTATGCATTTTTCCACACTATTAGAGGTGTTTTGCGGTGAACATAAGTCTCAAGATTTTACGTTTCTTAAATAAGGACAAAAATATACTCATAAGAATAAATGTTGAAAAACTTTAACTATTTCTACTATTCTACTGGGTGTATATGAAATAAAATTTGAAGCTGAAAAATTTCAGTACAGTGATATAATTTATTAACAACACCTTAATTTGCATTACAGGCGTTTTTTTTTTTCAAAATATATTTTAAAATAACTAACCTCCCGAAGCCAAAACATAATTCGACTTTTGGTTTTGGGTTGGTCAAACTATTGTAGATGATCCTAATATAGCGGATAAAAGGGAACATGGAACCAGGAGCAATCGAGTCAATATGGAAAAGTAGTAAAGTAGCTTGATCGGGAGAACGAAATGTGTTCGGTAAATTATGTTAAACTAGCGCGGGGATCACCATTAGATGATTTTGTACGCTTAACCGTTTACGAAGAAAATTCTTAAAAACTATACCGTACATTTAAAGCTATCTTGTGATTCTTATACATCGTAAGTAAACATGTATTACAAACAAAACAAAACATTACTTGAAGTTGTATAGTAGTTTACTTGTTGAGATAAATGTTAATACAATTTGGCAAATTTATTTATTTCCAACTAAAGTAATTTACTTAAATAAAATCAATATCCCCCCTTCCTTGTAACAGCAAACACACATTATTCCTAATGTTGTTTGAATTGGGAATGATTAAGGAAATATTTTAGTCAAAATCCTGTCAGACGAATGGAAAATCGCTTGGTCTGCAAGTTTGAAGTGGTGGCAGTATTTTATTATTATATTAATGGACCTACACATTTTATTACCTTAAACAATAGGTATCTATAAAGTTATTTTGTCTATTGAATTTTCGCAAATTATAATCTTTATCAAATAGTTGCAATTGAAATAACAAATTATACTACACTAATTTAAAATAGTAAAAAATTCGAATCTAAGGCTTTAACAAGCAGGTCCTAAAATTACACAGGATTTGGTGACCCTACATGTAGGATAATCGAATAGGTACGGTAATTACTTTTGATATCGCGATTATAGTTGCATTTATCTACAGTAAGTTGCATTACTATTGCAATATGCAATATCATAGGAAGGGTCCAGGGGGAAAAGGGGCAAAGTCCAATTTTTTTTCAAATTGAGTTTGAAATGCAAAAATATTCTTCTTCTGATGCTAAATATGGCAGTATATTTGTTCTGGGGAAAAAGAAGCTCATTGACATCTTGACATTGAAATGTAAGAATAAAGATTCGTGGTGCTGGGGAAGAAGGGGCCAAGTCACTGCAGTTAAAGCACTTGAACTTAAAATATAAAATACGTTTCCTGAAGAATTTTGTTTTATGGACTTTGCCCCTTTTCCCCCTGGACCCTTCGTATTATGGCATGGCTTGACAGGGAAAATACATTTATCAGCAATATGGTTGTAATTGAGTACACATTGCTTATAGTTTTTAATTACAAAATAACTCAAGTTTTAAGTGAATTTCTAAATGTTTGGTATATGACCTAAAGTATTCTAGTCTAAAGTAGACCTAGTATATATAGTCACTAAATATAACTACGACATTATTGTCAGTTTAATTTATAATACTTTGATAGGGCTATTTTTTATTCATCCGAAATTGGATATAGCTATGTTTTTAAGTTAATAAATATAATTTTTAATAAACATAATTTTACCAATATAATTTTTAATAAATGACAAATTTTATAGCCACAACTGGTTATTCCAGGCTATTTAATTTAAATGTTCAAAAATGCCTTTTTTCTGCAAACACAATTGATCTATTAATATTCTAAATCAATTATT